CCCTAAACCCTAAATCCTAAACAATGGCCGCCCGGCCCCGCAGCCTGCCGAGGTGCAGGCTCTGCATGGCGCCGCTCCGGGCGCCCTCCGCGAGGCAGAAGCTCGGAGGGCATGGGAGGATGCTTTCTCCGTGGCCTTTCTTGGAGGTTCTGTTTTGTATAGGGTAGGGTTTAGGGTTTGGGGTTTGGGGTTTAGGGTTTAGGGTTTAGGGTTCAGGGGGTTCTGTATAGTATAGGGTACCTTTTAATTGAAGGGTTCCTTAAAAGGTTCTATAAGGGCTACTGTACCTGGAGGTTCAGGGGGTAGATATCAATGGGGTGATAAGTAGGGTGCCTATACTTATAAGCCATATTAGGGGGCAAGCAACCCCACTTGCAACTACCCATGAACCTCACCGTCTGGCTCTGGGTTCGGGGGCTACAGTGCGTAAATTGGAGCAGGGGGAAGTTCGGGGTTTATTGATTCTAGGATGCATGCCTGGCAAGTCTACAGAAACCATTGTGGAGCCCATAAGAACTTCATCCAAAACGGTAGCAATGGTTACAAAAGCGATAGTTAGTGACGCTCGTGGTGGTGGTGGTGGTGGGAACAGTAACATAAGAGGAACCCTACACCCTAAACCGTAACAGTAGCAGTAGCAGTCGCAGATGAAGTCGAGGCGCGGGCTGCAGAGGGCTCCCGCGAGGGCGGCGCCGGACGTTTTGAGGCAGTCCGAGTTCTTAGGGCTTTTAGGGTTTTGGGTTCAGGGTTTAGGTCTGAGCTCTTAAGTCGGTCGGGGAAGAGTTCAGCTGATCTTTTTTTGAAGAGCTCTTCCAAGAGCCGGTGTTCCTAAACCCTAAACCCTTAAACCCTAAACCCTAAACCCTAAACCCCAAACCCTAAACCCTGAACCCTAAACCCTAAACCCCAAACCCTAAACCCTAAACCCTAAACCCTAAACCCGCAGCTGTGAAAGATCTTGGGGATCGCGCCGACCGCGCGCGAGACCTGGGCTCTCTGCTGGGCGAAGATCGTCGGGTGCAGAGCCAGTTGTAAAGAGACCTGTAATGTAGAACCCTAAAAGGTTTAGGGTTTAGGGTTTAGGGTTTAGGGTTTAGGGTTTAGGGAAGCCTGTAATATAGAATCCTAAAACCCAAAAAGCCTTACTGTAAACCCCAAAAACCCCAAAACCCTAAACCCGAAACCCGCGAATCCTCTTTGAATATAGGGGCCTAAATAATTACCTATACTATTTTGAGGGTTCCTTATTATGATGATACAATAACGTACCCCAAAACCCTATTATACTTGTTTAGGCCCCTACATTAACGGCTTCTGCTGCTGCTGACAATGATGGCCCAATGATGGCTGTCCCCGAAGGCTACGTGCCTGTTGTCGCCTTTGGCTTTTGTCCCCCCTCGGGGATCTTCTTTCAGTTGGGGCTCTACCTTTTCGAGCCTCGCTCAGCTGTGAGAATTCTTTCCTGTGGTTCATACTTGGAGGTTCATTGATAGTTATAAATGGGGTTTTAAGTGGGATAGCTATACTTATAGCCCATAATTAAGGTGACCTGTAACCCCACTTATAACTACCCATGAGCCTCCAAGTAGGAAGTATCGAGGTGTGCAGTTTAGGCTTCCATTGTCGTCTTCAAGCCTGAGCCCAAGCCTCCTCTGGCCAGGATATGGTGAACGACGTGGTTCAAATCAGCACCTTCCTACTGCACGGAGACTGGTGGTTTGCCGCAGTTCTCAGCTTCTTCATCCTCCTAAGCTTGGGGCTCACCATCCCGAAGATGTCGGCGGATAGCGAGTTGCAGCGCTTCGACCCTCTGGGCGAAGCCCGGCTCTGTTTGCTTCGGGGCGTGCCGACCGTGGCGTGGGAGCGGATGCTCGCGTGTGAGCGGAACATCGAAGCCCCGAGCACTGGGCTCATCGGCCCCTACGGCGCGGCCCTGCTCCAGCTGTCACCGCTGCAGGCAGCCAGCTGCCTTTATGGGCTCTACGCCTCCGCAAAGGCCATGGCCGAGGGCAGGCTGCATGTGGAGGCAGGCCGTGAAAACAACTGTCGAGGAGCTTTGTAGGGATGCTCGGAAAGTCTCGAATTGTTGAAGTCAGGGTCTCGCAATTCTGTCTAGGATTCCTAGGATCCGTAGTACACGGACGTTGAACCAAAGCAGCTCCTAGACGTGATGCATGTTGCGTCTAGGTGGTGAATGGCACGGACAGTGGAGGCCCAGAGGCCTTGAAAGCCGTTCCTTTGTCATGGTTGGGTAGCATTTTACATTTTTAAGGGTACTTAAAACCCAATAAGGGATATATAAATTTAATTTTTAATACTACCCCAACCATGAACCAGGTTCGCCCGGTGAGGGCCACGTTGCTCTTGGCCTGGTACTTCGCCGCCTTTGCCGCGGAGCTGGCGGCCTTCTCTGTGGCCAGCGCTGCCTTGCACCCCATGATCACCATGCCAGGGTACCTTTTTACTACGGTTGGGTAACATTTTACATTTTTTAGGGTACTTAAACTTAAACCCAATAAGGAATATAAATTTTAAGTTTTTAAGATTACCCCAACCATGAACTAGGTACCTCCTCGGTGCAGTGGCGAACGGAGTAGCAACCTGGTGGTCTGGATCACTGGATTCTTTGGATACGGTGGCCTTATCTTGCGTCATGGTTGCCTTTGCTATGGCAGGGGACCAGGCGAAGAGCTTCTTAAAGAACACAGCAACGAAGACCGAAGCTACTGGCCCAGGCTTTATTCCAGCGCTCGTTATTCTTGCCCGCTTCGTCACCTGGACGGCGCTGTGCTTCTTGGATCTTCCCCACGGCCTTGCTCCCCTGGGGTCGCTGGGGCGCCCCATGGGCCTCCCGGTGCTGCGCGAAAAGTTCCTGGAGCCGGCCGCCGCTTGTTGGGAGGGCATGGCTTGTTTCACGTCTCATTTCTGGATCTCCGTGGAACCGGAGGCCAATGCGACCTCCATGTCTTTGACCGAAGAGGTGGGGTTTGGCGACTGCGGCTGGCCGACAACCGGCGAGCTCAGCACACCATCCACCATCTTCAACGCCTGCTTGTTCTCCTTGGCCGCGGTTCTGGTTCCACTGCACATGTGCATTGTCATCGGAATGTTGCTTTTCAATCCCATTTACGCGTGTGGAGCCGAGAACCTCAGCCTCAAAGAGGAGGTGGAAGCGAAGCAGCGCGAAATCGACGAATTCGCCCAGCGCAACGAGCAAGCTGGCGGCCAGCCTGAGCAGCTGAGTTTTCTTGCAGACCAGGCAACGTGCACATGTCTGTGCGACATGTCACCGCCTGGAAGCAGGACTATATAAAGCGACTTAGAGACGAAAATACGAGTGCTGAGCTCTTACAACTCGTGTTGCCAACCTCGCGATAGAAAGCTTCCGTGCAAGCGCACGCATGCTCTTGGTGCAATACTTTGTCTACCTCACCCGCCCTGACTCCAACAATGGTTGTCCTGTCGTATTCAGGCCCCTGAAACGTTCGTGCAGAAGCCAAAAGCTCGGGGTGAAGCATCGGAGATGTACCTAGCTTGCTTGGGGGCAGAGAATCTCCGGTCCACAGATCTTAGGCGTTTTCTGGGAACACAGATCTCCCGGTTCTCCGAGCTTTGTTTGGGGGCCCATCTCGACATCTGTGGATCTCATAATACTCACATGTGGGGTGTAGCCCAACTAAGCACAATATGGGGAATCCTGTAAACGAGCACTAATTTTTAATAGTGAAGACACGTAATGCTTTTATTCCCTTCTAAATTGCTGAAGCAGGGCAAAAGCCTGAAGACACTCCCAAACGAAACCTGTCAGTTCAAAAGCCCCACGCCCTAAAATTTAGGGGTTTAGGGGTTGAGGTTTAGGGTTTAGGGTTTAGAATTTAGGGTTTGGGGTTTAGGGTTTAACCCTAAGCCCCAAACTCCAAACTCCAAACCCCTGTCGCGCCCCTGAACCCTGAACGCCGAACCCAAAGTACAACTCTCATGGCCAAGCGAAGCTTAGCAACAAAAAAGCCCCAAACCTACTGCTGCTGATATAAGTCCTGCGTTACCTTCAGGACCCCAAACTATGGGAATTATGGTATATTGCTTATTTTGGGCAGTATCAGCCGTTGCGACCTCAAAGCTCTGAGCGGTATAGCCCTCATCACCTGTGCAGGGCTCCAGACAGGGCGCCGCCGTGGTCCGTGAGGCAGGAGCTCAGTTCCCATCAAAGAAGACCCAGAGAACCCAATACCCCTTAATTAAGGCATATACCTTAAATCAAAATGATAAGGGCCCTATAATGTAAGGTATATTCCTTAGTTAAGGGGTCTTGGGTTCTCTGGGGACTTGGTTTCTGCTGGGGCCTGAGCCTGTGGGTCAGGGCTCGGACAAATCTGAGTGCGGGTTTGAGAACTACGGGCTGCTGGTGCACAGGGTTTAGGGTTTAGGGTTTAGTGTTTGGGGTTTAGGGTGTAGGGGTTTAGGGTTTAGGGTTTTTGTAGGAGCCTGCGGTTGCGTGCCGCAGCTGCGAAAGATCTTGGGGATCGAGCCGACCGCGCGCGAACCCTGAGCTTTCCTTTCTGTCCGCAGTTGCTCTCTGCAATGGATGTCCCCAAAGGCTATGCACCTGTCGTCGCTTTTAGCTTCTGTCCACCCTCGGGGATTTTTTTCCAGCTTGCCATGTACGTTTTCGAGCCTCGACCATGCTGTCAGGGCTTCTCCCTTTCATAATGTAAGGGCCTAAAAATTACCACTACTATTTTGGGTTCCTTCTTACAAATTACCCAAAAACCCCGTTCTAATTACTAAGGCCCCTACATTAGGGGCATCTTGCTGTTGACAAGGGGTCTCGGGGTGGGGTGTGCCCCTGAGTCCAAGCCTCCTCCCGCGCAGGACATCGTGAACGACCTGGTTCAAATCAGTACCTTTCTACTGCACGGAGACTGGTGGTTTGCCGCAGTTCTCAGCTTCTTCATCCTCCTAAGCTTGGCGCTCGCGGTCCCGGAGATGACGGAGGAGAGCAAGCTGAAGCGCTTCGACCCGCTGGGCGAAGCCCGGCTCTGTTTGGATCGGGGCGTGCCGACCGTGGCGTGGGAGGTGATGCTCGCGTGTGAGTGGAGCATCGAAGCGCCTGCCACGGGGCTCATCGGGCCCTACGGTGCAACGTTGCTGGCACTCACGCCTCTGCAGGCAGCCAGCTGCCTCTATGGGTTGGTGAGCTCAGCAAAGGGCATGGCCGAGGGAAGATTGGGTGCGGAGGCGGGCTGTTGCCGAAAAGAGTAGAAGGCTGCATCGTAGGATAGTCTCGCGATAAAGGTCCCACAAGTCTGTGTAGGCCTATACATGACCATACTACTTGAACGTACCGGGAAGCTTCTAGACACATGCAGGTGGTGTGTAGCATATGCAGCAGCCTATCGATGTCGGAACAAATTTCAAGACCCTCGGAAGGTGTCGACCGGCACTGACGGTGCAGAAGCACATGCGTTGAAAGCTGTTCGCCCGGTGAAGGTAGCGGTATTCTATGCTTGGTACTTGGGCGCATTTGTGGCGGAGCTGGCTGGCTTCGCCGTGGCGAGTGCGACATTGCACCCCATCATCACCGTGCCGTGGTACCTCCTCGGAGCAGTGGCGAACGGCGCAGCGGCCAGGTGGGGTGGATCGCAGGACTTTTTGGATGCCGCACGAAATTCTTGCTTCTTGGTTGGTATTGCCATGGCAGGCCTCCAGACAAAAAGCTTCCTCAAGAACACAGCAACAATAACTGGAGGAAAGGGCCCCGGCTACATTCCGGCGGTTTGCATCTTGGCCCGCTTCGTCACCTGGACGGCTCTGTGCTTCCTCGATCTTCCGCACGGCCTCGTTCCCCTGGGGTCGCTGGGGCGCCCCATGGGCCTCCCGGTGCTGCGCGAAAAGTTCCTGGAGCCGGCCGCCGCATGTTGGGAGGCCATGGCTTGTTTCGCATCTCATTTCTGGATCTCCGTGGAACCGGAGGCCAATGCGACCTCCATGTCTTTGACCGAAGAGGTGGGGTTTGGCGACTGCGGCTGGCCGACAACCGGCGAGCTCAGCACACCATCCACCATCTTCAACGCCTGCTTGTTCTCCTTGGCCGCGGTTCTGGTTCCACTCCACATGTGCATTGTCATCGGAATGTTGCTTTTTAATCCCATTTATGCATGTGGAGCCGAGAACCTCAGCCTCAAAGAGGAGGTGGAAGCGAAGCAGCGCGAAATCGACGAATTTGCCCAGCGCAACGAGCAAGCTGGCGGCCAGCCTGAGCAGCTGAGCCTGCTTCCGGATTAGATTGGGCAAGTTCCCCATTCGACACTTTGGTGTCATTCCATCGATACAGGACTGTCCGAAGCTGTCCGGAGACCAAAAGCATTGCCGAGGTTGACAGCTTGTCATGCGCAAGGCGGAAGACTTGATGAAGATGCCTCCTTAGTTGCAAGTCCATGCTCCCTTTTTGTCGACCTGGAGGCGGAGAACTTCCCCCTGCCAGAGGCGAAGAGCGGAGCTCGGGTGTTTCCAGGGTCTGTAGATTTGTAAATCTCCGCATTCCGACTTGAAACTTGTGAGGAGCTAGTGCATCCTTTCCTGTGTGATCGGAGCCCATAAGGATCTAAAAAATAGATCCCCTAAGGGCCCTAAACCCTAAACCCTAAACCCTAAACCCTAAACCCTAAACCCTCAACCTTAAACCCTAAACCCTAAACCCTAAACCCTAAACCTTTGAGGGCCTTGCTTCTCCGGCTTGGGGCCTGGAGCAGGTTGAGGCCTTGAAGGCGGGAGCTCAGGTGATAGGTCTTCAGGGGCCCAAGGAGCTTTTCTTCTAAGTTGTTGATTTAGGGTTTAGGGTTTAGGGTTTAGGGTTTAGGGTTTAGGGTTTAGGGTTTAGGGTTTAGGGTTTAGGGTGTAGGGTTTAGGGTTTAGGGTTTAGGCCTTTTGCGGAAAGCCACTCGTAGCACTTCCGACACGTAAAAGGGACTTTGGCAAAGCACCAGTTGGGATTTGCTCTCCGTGGCAGATCCTGGCCCTCACACGCTCGATCACTGGCTTTGGCCGCTCCTCGCGCTGGCAGGAGGCGCCGGCTCTTAAGGCTTCAGGTCTATCAATTTTTGTTGCGCTTGCACCTGCCATCACGGTTTTTTTCAGTAGGAGTGTGTATGGTCGTGTACGCTCGAGTCTTCAAGCCTTTCATATCTTAGGAATCGCCACCCTCTGCATTTCAGGGACTAATTACAGGTTGTCTCGACCCTGCTGCATTCAAGCCTTCCAGCTTGTGGCTAAAGCTCTCAGACGTTGGTCCAGGCTTCGCCCAAGGCAGAGACAAAGCCTCCGAGCCCTTTGTTCGGGTTGCGAGATTTCGAGACTCGGGTTTGGGACTGCAGTTCATGGCTTGGCCAAACCTTGGACTGGATCCGACATCGGAAACGCATCGTTATTTCGAGGCCTGGTGGTCCAGGTTTTGGGGGGGCGTAGACGTTTCGAGGTGAGAGGGTCACTGGGCCCAGACTCCTAGATGTCAAGCCCGATCGAACTTACATAAATCCTAACACCCTCGGCAAGAAAAATCTGTCAGCCTCGTTGCAGCCCCAACCCCTTTGCCGTAAATTCAACTCCGAGCAGAGGCGTTGCAGAAGTTCGCGGAGTTCAGGCAACAAAGCCTTGAGAATCTTGGGCGAATTACCTTCAGGCCATTGAGGTTCACGGTCTGACATGTGTTCATCCTTGTCGGTCGTTTTTTTTTTTTTTTTGTGGGGCTTTCGGATGTCCTGGAGAGCTCTACTCGGTGTTCCTTTGCCATTCTCAGGTCTTCGAGTTCGAAGCAGCTCTTAAGAGATCTCGAAGAATAGAGCGGAGTTCAGGGTGCAAGAAGAGTCATGACCGAGCCTCGCCATGCGAGGTGCAAGCACACATGGTGTAGTCGTCCCCCTCGAGGTCCCGGTTTACCCTTAGAACGGAAAGGATGTTCGTGTTCCAGGTGCGGTTTCGGCCCCTGAGGTACGACGACGTGGCCCTGAACGCTGCCCTGAGCGCTTGCAGCAAGGCGCGGGACGACTCTGAACCTCCGAGACCCTTTAGTCGAAGATTCCTCAGTCTCAGCTCGAAGCTTCGGATTTTTTTTGGGGCCTATTATAAACATAATTCTAGTATAAGATACCCCGAAACTCTATATTCTAATTGCTAAGGTCCTTGTGCTGTATCTTCGGGTTTGGTGACCTTTGGTGGCTTGGATCTCTGAGAAAAAGCAGAGAAGCGGCTCTCTGTGCCCAGGGTGCAGCTTGGCTTCGGGCACTTCTTCTTTTTGCCGAGGACGTACTGCTCGGAGAAGGGAAGCTTAGGATTTCCCTAGTTGTTTTTTTCCTTGGGCTGGTAGGTTTCACTTGCTGCCCGGAGGAGGGGAGCCTGGGATTCACATAGTTTTCGGTGTTTGCTTTCGGTGGGCTTTGTCGGGGTGGCACCTTGGGTGCATCGTGTACGTGGACGGCTCAAGATGCAGGATTTCGGTTGCGACTTTGGTTTTAGGTTCAGGGATCAAGCCGTGCGCATGACGCAGTTTCGTTGGGGAGCTCGGGAAGACGTGAGCGTTCAGATTCTGTGGATTTTGTTGCTGATGTGGAGTTTTTTTTTTTTTTTTTTCCCGAAGCTTCGGGTTCTTGTTTGTGCATCCGGGTTGGACCCAAGTTTTTTTTTCCGGAGGTTCCAGGGTTTAGAACTGCCGATTTTTGACATTTTGGGACCGTGAGTGGCGTTTCGAGCTCGCAGAGCTGGAAGAGGCTTTCACGGTTGCAAGGCGGCAGATCCACACCGCTCTCCGAAGGCAGAAAAAACTCTAGTAGCAGCAGCGGAGTCCTCTGATCCGAAACTTTAGAATCACACCTCGTCAACACCCAAATCCTCAAGACCTGGAAGTCTGCTCAACCCGTGCTGCGCTCTACCACTTTCGCAAATCGGGAAGGCCCCACTCTGAAAATTGGAAGGCCCAGCCCTGCTAAGCCCACAACCCTTGTGACCCCTGAGCCCCAGACCCTGGATCCGACCCCCCCCTAAAGCCTTCTGAAACCTCAACACCCTCTAAACACCAATCCCCCCCTATAAGCTTCAACACCCTCTCTAAACACGCCATGTCAGTGCTAGACTTCCCTAGACTCGAAGCCGCGAGGCGCGCACGGAAGAGCTTCCGCCCACGGACGTGACCCACAACACGGTGCTCGGCGCTTTGGAGCCTCTGGCAGGAGTCTAGGAAGGGCAACAGAACCAGGACCCTCTAAGTACCCTCAAACAGGGGTATATCGTCCCAAATTAAGGGTATTTAGGGTCTAATAAAGTCTAGGAAGGGCAACAGAATGAGACCGGAAAAGTACAGACTCCTCTCTGGATGTTTCACCCCTTTTTTATTACAGGGGGGGTCATAGCCTAGTATTCTTGATTAGGTTCGGGCGCGGCAGGTAGTGGCTGTGCTGTTTAGTGGGGTTCCTTTTTGTCAGCCTTTTGCGCAACATGTCTTCCGGATTTGAAGGAGCTGGTCATGGGAGGTCGTGTGCATACTTCGGCGTATAGAGACCATCCGGGCATGTTTCTGGAGACAGGGGACAGCCACGACATTTCTTGTTTGGACTTTCTTAGAACTCCCTGGGCCCTTTCCGAAGCCTTCACATGCATTCACGATGAGCCTTGGTCCAACCTGCAGTAGGAAAGCTAGATAGAGTTGTCAGATACTCATGACTGCTTTAGCATCCCGGCTGCTCATCCATGTCGCTCGGGGATTTACTGGTCTTGTTTGCCAGGATAACCCCATGCCTGGGGGTCTTGAAGCCCTCCCCCCCCACGCCCCTCACCGCCAGAAAGCGTCCCAAGACTCCCGGAATGACACACAGAGCTGAAGCCTTCGAACCCTAAACCCTAAACCCCTGAACCCATAAACCCCTAAACCCCTAAACCCTAAACCCCTAACCCTTAAACCCTGAAGCCCTAAACCCCGAAACCCTTCAAACCTAAACTCCTAAACCCCTAAACCCCTTCCCAACCCAAAACCCTCAAACCCTCAACCCTTCAACCCCGAAGAAGCTCAGGAGAAAGGCGCCGGATGGCCCGAGGTCCTCAGCCTGCGGCTTGGTTGTGCGGATGTTATCCCTGCCGTTTCGCACTAAAAGCGGTTTAGGGTTTAGGGTTTAGGGTTTAGGGTTTAGGGGTTTAGGGTTTAGGGTTTTGGGTTTAGGGTTTAGGGTTTTGGGTTTAGGGTTTAGGGTTTGTACTAAAAAAGCGATCTCCAGGGTGGAAGAGCCCTCTCAGTGCAGATCAGGCATTAGCCTACTTGGGGGTTTATGGGTAGTTATACAAGGGGTAACTATACTTGGTAAACCTAACTACCCCTAAACCTCCAAGTACCACAACAGCCTACAGCCTGAACAACAAAGCCTGAACCGAAGCGTGCAAGTGCAAGAATCCCCAAACCCCAAACCCTAAACCCTAAACAGTCCAAAAATCACCGCAAAAAAAGCCCCAGGTTGGGTGCCCTGGTGCTGGCCACACTCCGGCCGGACGCCTTCTCCCGCAGCGCCGTCATCAGCGGCTTTGGAAAGGCCGGCAGTGCCCCCTTTCAACCCTCTTTTTGAATAAAAGAAGCCCCCGGCAAAAAAGGAAGCTCCCCCCCAAAATGGGAGGTGCCCCAAATCCCACCTAAAGCAAAGGAAGCCCCCCGCTTCAAAAGCCCCCGCATCAAGGCCGGGCAGTGGCCGAAGGCCCGGCAGCTCCTGGCTGCCTCCCTCGCGCTGGGCGCGGCCCCGGCCGTGGTCCCCTGCGCCCCGGCGGCAAGGGATTTCAAAAAGGAGGCTGTTGAGTTTTAGGGTTTAGGTTGTTTTGGTGTCTTTTTTTTTCGGGGTTTTGGGGATATCGGCGCATTTCGGAGCATTTCGGGGGAGCGTCCTGTGCGGGCTGAAAGGAGGCTTTTGGGGTGAGTTCTGGCACTGAACCTCGTATCGGTGGTCGGATTCAGTGCTCTTGATGCAAGCACGCAGAGAAACAGCTCGTGTGTGCCTTTGTGTAGCAGCTCTTACCAGTAGCTTTACACCCTGCCAGGTCTACGCTCAAAACCCTAAACCCTAAACCCTAAACCCTAAACCCTACAAACCCTTTTCAAGCCCTCAGACCCGGATCTAAAGCCCCGACTCTTCAAACCGAAACCCAACCCTCGTTAATCCTTAAGCCTACGACCCTCTAACCTTGAAGCTTGAATAGCTGCCAACACTATCATTATTATTATTACTATTATTAATAATAATTATTATTGTTATTATTAGTATTGTTATTATTCTTACTATTCTTATTATTATTATGATGATGATTATAATATTGTTATGATAATGATAGATTATTCCTCAGACCGTTCCGTCCCCTTCTTTGCGCCTCTAAGTGCAGAGCTCGAGGCAACGGCGCGCTGAGCGCCTGCGCCCGGGCGGCCTCCTGGGAGGAGGCGCCTCAGCCGTGCCCCTAAGCGCAGCAGACTCTCTGAGCTTTAGGGCTTAGGCGTTTAGGGGTTTGGGGGTTTAGGGGTTTGGGGTTTAGGGTTTAGGGATTTAGGGTTCAGGGTTCATCTTCCTGGCTTTGGAATTTTGGAATGCTTTTTCGTTTCTTGGAGGCATCTTTCAGTATAGATTTCATTTGAACCTGCAGGGCCTGGAGGGCCTGGAAGCCACAATGCAGACGACAGGAAGGCTCGTATCATGTGCCGGATGACGTTACCCTAAACCCTAAACCCCTAAACCCCTAAACCCCTAAACCCCTAAACCCCTAAACCCCTAAACCCCTAAAACCCGAGCCGCATATCCTGAAACCCTATAAGCTCCTCCAGGGATTCGGGACTTGTTGCAGAGGCCCTGGACTTCTTCGATGCTGCGCCGCAGCCGGACGTGATCTCCTGGAACGCACTGTGACCCGGCGGATGGAGGTGTTGGCGAGCGGGGTGTAGTAGTTCGGGGTTTGGGGCTTAGGGTTTAAGGGTTTTAGGGGTTTAAGGGTTTAGGGGTTTAGTAAGCATGACAAGAGCTCAGGGTCGTCGGAGATGTCTTTAGTTTGTTTTGTTTTGCTGAGATGTATTTCGGCTGGCAGCGGCTTGAAGCGCTTCAGGTTCAAGTTTCCTTCGGCTCTTGCCGGTGGCCCCATCCCTTCACCCGAGAGTTTGAAAGCTGTACTGTGGGGGTTTCGTTGATTCTCAACCCTAACCGATAAACCCTAAACCCTCAAGCCTAAACCGATTCAAAAGGAGTCAGAGACCCTTTCTTTTAAGTCCCCAAAATACTCTACGGCACCCTTCTAAAAAGGAAACCCGGAAGATCCCCAGCATCCCGGTCAACTCTAAGCCCCCTAAACCCCCAAACCCTAAACCCTGAACCCCCTAAACCTTAAACCCTAAACCACCCAAAACCCACCAAAACCACCCCAACCCCCCCCACCCCCCAAAACCACACAAAACCACCCAAAGCACCCAAATCCACCCCAAACCCTCCAAAATCCCCCAAACCCCCCGCACCCACCAAAACGCCCCAAAATCCCAACCAAAACCCCCCCAAACCCCCCAAGACCACACAAAACTCCAAAAACAAACCCCAAACCCTCCAAAATCCCCAAAACCCCCCGAACCCCCCAGAATCCCAAAACCCGGAAAACCCCCCAAACTCCCCAAGGCTCACCGCAAGCGCCCGTGCCGAGCTTTGGCTCCGAGCCTCGGCTCCTCGACTCTTTGTGGGCGGCCCTGCTCAGTGGGTTTTTGGGGTTTAGGGTTCTTTTGAGTTTAGGGTTTGGGGTTTAGGGTTTAGGGTTCGTTGGAGGTCAGGGTTTAGGGTTTAGGGTTTTGGGTTTAGGGTTTAGGGGTTAAGGGTTCCTTTGAGTTTAGGGTTTAGTGTCAAGGGTTCCTTTGAGTTTAGGGTTCAGGGTTCAGGGTTCTTTGGAGTTTTTAGGGTTAGGATTTAGAGGGTTTAGGGGTTTGGGGGGTTTAGAGTTTAGAGTTTGAGGTCTTGCAAGAACAACGTGGTTCAGGTTAGGATCGTCATTTCTCGGGATAGCTATAGCCCATAGGTGGATTTTGGGGTGGACAGATGTTTCACTTAGCGCTTCAGGGTGCGAGGGGTTTAACGCCTAGGGGATTAGGGGTTAGGGTGTGTGATTTTGGAGTTCTGGGATTATAGTTTAGAAATCTATGCGGAGTTTTTTGGCCTCTGTTCTATGAGATGTAAGGGGTTGGGAGTTGGTTGCAGGTATGCAGGGCCTGAGGATGTGAGGGCTGTTGCACACTAGAGTCCAACAACGTTGCTGTTGCAAACTGGGCTCCAAAAGCAAAGCCCCCCCAGCAAGTGGTCCGGGCCTTTCGGTGCTTTCAGGCTCCATTACCGTATGGCTTTGAGAAGCCTGCAGCCCTGCAGCAATTTTAAAAACCTCAGACTGGAAGGTGTAGCTGCCACGTGAACCCGAGCCCTCTGGACCGTGACCAGGCCCTTTTGGCGCACATCGCTGCCTTTCGTGTTCCGGCCACCGCAGTGAGCCACAATGCAGCCATGTCTGCATCACAGAGGCGCGCTTCTGCCGAATCACCAACAAAAGGGGGGGGGGGGCGGGGTTTTTGCAACAAAGGCTTGCAGGCGCCACGGATCCCTTTTGCAGATCTATATAGGGGGAGCTCGGGTTTGGAGTTTGGGGTGATCACGAGGCCGTTGCGGCGGTCTTGGGCCCCTTCCGGATAAGGGTTCGGCCGTCTCCAAGTGCTCCCAGGTTCCCACGTAGAATTCTAGGTCTTCAGGCGCGCATGCTGAACTCCCGAAACGCGGCAGCCGTGCGAGGTCAGGAGCCTGGCAGCTCGCAGTGCAGCAGGCAGGCGAGTCGAAGGGTTTGGGTTTTGGGGCTTTTCTTTCAGAGTGATTCAGGGATTCATGGATTTAGAGACCGGTCGAGAGGTGATTGGGCGCCGAAGGAGACTGAAAGCATGGCTACCTCAGAGAGATCTGGAGTGATGTGCACCAAAACACCGACGTAGTTGTTGAGCCTCCTCCTGTACTGGCCCAAACGCTCGAATTCAGAGACGACTGCATCCCTACCCCAAATACAAAAACGGGTCCCAAGACTGCATCCCCATGTATACACACCCCCAACCGAATCCTCTTAACTTTCCAACCCTGGCAGTTGATGGCTTTCCAGAGCACACTGCTGAAGCGGAGCGAGGCACGGAGAGGGAAGAAACCCTGATGCGTTAGGCTTCTGAGGGTCTGTGCAGTCTTCAGAAATCCTGGCAGCCCGCAAGGCTTCTCCTTCACTCCACTATTTATTTTAAAGGACTCCCATCAAGATCACGAGGAAAGGCCGCAGAATCCAGAGGGGGGGATAGCAGAAGTGCTAGGAACTCCGAAGCACCCTACACCAGCTCGGGGATCGGGTGGCCAGCCGCTCTTTTGGGAGGACGTAAAGTTTTGCTGCTGCTTGGAAGGCGTTTTGCTAGCTCTTGAGGTGGCAGCTCTAAAGGAAGCCGGACCGCTTACAGCCTGCACTTCAGCTGCAGAGCCTTGTAGGTCTCATGCAGCAGAGGTTTTCGATGTCGCGGCAGAGCGCCCGTAACCCTGAAACCCGCTGCTGCCAATGGTCGGAGGTGTCGTATGGGTCATCCATCAGCGCCTGCCGCCCTTCTGGCCAGTGGTAGCTCAGTCCACATACCGATGGCTTTTCGGAGTTGGGTCTCCCTTGAAGCCGTCGTACGCTTTCAGGGTCCGAGTTATGACGAACGATGTATCCTCTGTACCTCAACCCGGAAGGTCGCAGGCTAACGGAGGTTCCGACTTCACCGGGCTCGGAAACCCCGAAAAACCCGAAGCGGCACCGAAGCTTCCAAGGCAAGAGGCCTGGGTGCTCCTGAGCACCGCCGCCGCCGCAGCTTTGCGCTGCTCTGCCGTGCTGGGTGCCTCGGAGCATTGCTTCGAAAGGCCCTCCCGTTTTTGCTCGGCTACTACGGGCTATCACAAGGAGCATCCACGCATCAATAAACCCTAAACCCCTAAACCCTAAACCCTAAACCTCAGCTGCGCAAATGGCAGCTCTGGTCTCGCCGGCAAGACCGAAAGAGCTTCTTAGTTCAGCGGGTCGTCTCCGACCTCAAAGGCACCTTTTCAGACATTAGGGTTTAGGGTTTAGGGTCAGCTCATACTTGGCCCTGGCACAGGCCACGGGCGTAAAAAGGCCTCCGAAAGCGATGCCCTAGAAAGCCCGCAGCGTGAAGCTCGAGGCAATGCTGCAATCTCCTGCTGCGATGGCGCGGGGTGCTGGTCTGAGGCGTGGCAGACTGCACCGCTTACGGACTCGAAGGGTTATACCAAAAACGCTACAATGTAACCATAATATACCTAATTACAAAAGAACTATAGTGCAATGTATAGTAAGACTACAAAATAACTCTAGACCAAAATAAACCCATAGACTACTATATCTTACGATTAGGGCTCCAGGTTTGGCGGTTCTTGGGATTAGCGAGGCTTGGGAGCTTTAAATGCTTTATGGTCGGAGTTTCGGCTCCAGTGCCTGCTCGCTACGAGGGTCTTTGGCACGGTGTGCCGTATTTTCTGCATCAAACCGGCCGGCAATTTGGTTTCAATTCTGCCGCCGGTTACTTGCAACACCCTGCAAATGCCATGAGGCTCCCGCTGCACAGCGGCGGGAAGTCATCTTATGTAGTTTTGGGCAGTGATCACAACCCTAACCCTAAACCCTAA